GGTCTCTTCAGCCTTGAGGAGACTCAGAGGGGATCTGTTGGTGACATACAGGTATGTGAGGGGGTGTCACATGGAGTTGGGTAGAGACCTGCTCTCCCCTGCAGAGGAGGGAAGAATGTGCAAAAACAGAGCAAAGCTCAGGGAACTAAGATTCCGTTTAGATGCCAGGAAGCTCTTTCTGATGGTTAGGACCCCGTGGGTACAGAATGGGCTTCCATAGGAGGTGGTTGAGGCCTCATTGGTGAGGGTGTTCAAAGATAGGCTAGACATGCACATGGTGGCCACATCATGAGTGGAGCCAGCTGGAGCTGGGGGTCAGACTAGATGGCCTGGGATACCCCTTCTGACTCACTGTTCCTATATTAAGTCCAAAATATGTACTTTTGAACTATCACCTGACTTTTTACTAACCATTGGTTATGGCAAGGTGAGAAATGTGCCTGCATGCTACTGAACATTAAAAGAAATCATGCATGTCCATGTGGTGATAGTGTTGAAACACTTGGCCATGTACTGTTGTTTTGATCTCTCTATAGAGATGCATCTAAAGAGTTAATTTGCCTCTTGTTAGTTAAGAAGCCAAGTCACTCACCTGACTTGTACGTATCTCTTCTTTTTGCAGACTGGGATAGACAGGTGATGGTGTAGTCAAATAATTTTTTAGCAGTAGCAACTAAAGTCAGGTCTCGTATGATTTTAAAATCATTTTTATAGATTCACTTGTTCAAATTTAGGCATTGGTGTGTGTATGTTAGAGTGAGATATGTATTATATTCCTGATTTTGCATTAGATTTTATATTTTTTAATATTTATGCAAAGGCGTATGGCTAATGAAAATAAACTTTATTTTGTCCTTTCATCTTACCTTGGCTAAATCACCAATTTAAATGGAGGCTGCAGCACAGAAATTATTAGACAACTGAAATCTGGAGGGAGAGCAATTAATTAACTAAAGAGAAAGACCATCAAATAGAAGGACATTTCACTGGAGACTAAGGCTACGATCATCCATGCTGTTATATTCCTAAACACTATGGATTTGTGTAACACTGTCCAGGTCAATAATGGAACCTGGACAGGGAAGAAAGCTAACAAAGAAAACTGAAGCTTTCAAAACACCCGTGCAGAACTTACAAATACTCTAGACCAACATAAAGATGAACAAGCTGTCCTAGGTCAAAACAAGCCAGAACTTTCTCCAGCAGCAAAAATGACAAAACTGAAGCTGTTGTACTGTGGCCACATCACGAGAAGGTAAGATTCACTGGAGAAGACCCTCGTGCTAGAGAAAGTTGAAGGCAGAAGAGGAAGTCCACACATGCGAGGGATTGATGCCATCAAGGAAGCCACAGCCTTCGCCTTACAGGAGCTGAGCAGGGCTGTCGAGGAGACTTCAGAGGGCACTCAATTCACAGGGTTGCCATAAGTTGCAATTACTTGACAGCACATAACCAAAATGGTTGGTACCTTACACTATTGTATTCCTGAATAGCTTTTGTACACTGCAGAATGTAAGCTAACGTCCTTACTATATATAACGTTGAATTGATTTTTATCCTGCTTTCATTAGCCAGAAAGCTCCCTGAGCAGCAGTCCTTTTATATTCACTTTGTATATGCTTCGTACTACTCATTATGTTGTTGTTTTTGCCACTTGCATGCACATACGACTTTTGTGGTGCATGTATAAGTGCACTTGCATTTGGACTAAAAGGTTCATACATTTTTGAGTGAACATTTTTGCTAGACTTATGTCTGATTTGTTTTGCTTGTGGTTCTGAATCAAAGCCAAAACCTCTGGACAACTGAATGAGGACTGAGAAACAGCTGCAGAGGTAGCCTAAGGACACGTTTTAGCAAGTACAGCTGTACTTTTCACAGATAAAAGACTCTTAAATGTTCATCTCACATAATTCAATGGCTCAAAGACCTTACAATGCTCTCAAGTTTAAAATGGGTGGTTTACAGACACTGCCTGCAAATGGATGCTTACTTGGTGATTTGGACTGCATTTGTTGAAGTTTAATGTGTAATTCTTAGAAAGCTGTGTGTGTGCATGCGTGTATATGTTTGTGTGTACACAAACAGAGATTTCATATGAATGCAATGAAATTATATACTCAGTTATATAGCTACATTAGGGCCAGTGTAGTGTGGTTGGAATGTTGACTGGGGAACTGGGAGATCTAGGTCCTAGTCCTCACTGGGACTTACTGGGTGATTTTGGGTGAGTCACAGGCTCTCAGCTTAATCCACCTAACAGGGTGTTAGTTGTAAGGATAACACTGGAGAGGTGGATTATACAAACCATCTCGGGTTCCTTGAAAGAGGAAAAAAGTTGGGATATAAATGCAATAGAACAATAATACATTATCTCTTTGGTTGAAATTTCAAAACAAACAAAAAAGGTAAAAAGCTATCTGATATATAAACATTGTCCCTTCCTGTATGGGTCCACCCTATGGCGGGGGTCCTCAAGCTTTTTCAAGAGGGGGCCAGCTGAAAGGTGCTGGCGATGGGCGCGGGCCGCGAAGGTGGTGCGGGTGGGGACTGCGGGCCAGGCAGGGAGGCGCGTGCCTGCATGTGCACACAGTGACGCAAGGGCATGCATGCGCAGAGATCGTTTTCTCCGAGTGAGTCCAAAACGGTCTTGCAAGCAAACCAGCACCTCGTCATACGTGTGCCTGCGCAGCGAGTCCAAAACCTCTATGGTGGGCCGGATAAATGGGCATGGTGAGCCAGAGGCAGCCCGTGGGCCATAGTTTGAGCATCCATGGTGTAAAACTTGAAAAATTACTATCCTTGCAATTAGGTTCAAATTATGCAAATGCAGCATTTTCAACATTGTACACAAACACTTGAAATTTCAGGAGAAGTACGACTATGCCATCAAAAGGCAAAGGTTAAAAGTGCAAAGAAATTAGAAAAATTCTTGGCACTTCTTTTTAAATTGTTGTAGGCACTCCATTGGTTTGTTTGGATCACATGTCAGATTAACAGGAGAGAATACAGAGATGTCACAACCCAGTCTCTCAAGTATGTAGACGATTACAACCGTTCAATGTTTCAATACTGTTTCAAGTCCTACAACTGAACCAGAGCAATGAGAACAGCTGTTAGATTGATCAGCAGTGTCATCTCTTTTCTGTCAAGTCACTGCGATACTTAGCTTTAATAAACTTGATTGGAGATGCTTTTGTAGTATCTTAAGATACCATAACCAAAAATACAAAAGCATTTGCACAAAACATTTATGAGCAGTTTTAGAGTTTGACTACCCCTGCATCTTTTGCCATATCTTGGCTTTTAGAGGGTCAACATTATCCTTAACCATGTCATTAACATTCTCTGGACAAAACTGTTTCGAAGGTATTTGGTACCTCAGTTTTTCTAGACATCTAAGGCAGGTTTCAAGCACATCATGAGAATAGCAAGGCTAGATGAATCACAAGTTGATATTTGCTGGGAGAAATATCAACAACCTCACATATGCAGGTGATACCACTCTAATGGCAGAAAATGAAGAGGAACTAAAGCTCCTCCTGATGCTGGTGAAAGAGGAGAGTGCAAAAGTTGGCCTGAAACTCAACATTAAGAAAACTAAGATCATGGCATCCGGTCCTCTCACTTCCTGGCAAATAGATGGGGAAGAAATGGAGGTAGTGACAGATTTTATTTTCCTGGGCTCCAAGATCACTGCAGATGGGCACTGCAGCCAAGAAATCAAAAGATGCTTGCTCCTTGGGAGGAAAGCTATGGCAAATCTAGACAGCATACTAAAAAGCAGAGACAGCACCCTGCTGACAAAAGTGCGTATAGTCAAGGCTATGGTTTTCCCAGTCACAAAGTGTGGCTGTGAAAGTTGGACCATAAGGCTGAGCGCTGAAGCATTGACGCCTTTGAATTGTGGTGCTGGAGGAGACTCCTGCGAGACCCTTGGACTGCAAGGCAATCAAACAAGTCAGTCCTAGAGGAGATCCAACCCTGACTGCTCTTTAGAAGGCCAGATATTGAAGATGCAACTCAAATACCTTGGCCACCTAATGATGATAAGGAAGGACTCACTGGAGAAGAGCCTAATGCTGGGAACAAGTGATAGCAAAGGAAGGGGACAGCAGAGAATGAGGTGGCTGGATGGAGTCACTGAAGCAGTTGGCGTGAGCTTAAGTGGACTCCAGGGGATGGTGGAGGACAGGAAGGCCTGTAGGAATGTTGTCCATGGGGTCGCGATGGATCAAATGCGACTTCACAACTAACAACAAGAAGGCAGGTTTCAGAGTCAGTATTAATATTTACCTCAGATTTTGCCAAACCTATTTCATATTTATATATTCATGTTTTCATAGTGTCTTGAGTTCAAGACAAATACCATGTTATCAGAATATAATCGAATGCTAAACTCTTGATCCAATACTTTAAACTCATATGCTTAGATTTGACTGTATCATAATAGCTAATAATTTAAATATTAAATGGTAATGATAAACACTGTCACAACCTACTGCATGTAAGTTGTTTAATTATTTTTCCCCCCGGTTGTGTGTTGTGCACCATAACCTCTAGCTATGGTGCCTGAATCTTTCTGAAAAAAAAATGCATCAACATATTAACAGCATATACTTTTATTTGTGGAGTTTTGATAGCATGCACAGTTTTACAGGCCCTGTGAACAAGTCAGTGAAACATACTGCTTGAAACATATTGCATTCTTTGGAAAGTTGGCATCATTTTCCCATTTTGCAATATTAATTTCTGACAGACATATAATTAGGAAGATCTCTATTGCTAAAACACAAATAGCAGCGACTTTCAGAAGATTTTTTTAATTAAATCAAGTCATTGCACTTGGTCATTTATTGCTACAGCAAAAAAGGCCGTTAAATAATTAACACTTCTGATTCATTGATTGTCTTGTCTTATTCATCTGCTATAAGCTTCAAGGCAGACAAAATTCTAGAATAGCAATCTAGCAATACTATTTTGTCTTACACTCTGGATCATAGTGAAGAACACATACAGGAACTCTCTTCATGAGGCTCAATTCTTTTTTGCATAATCAGAATAAAATTTTAATGATCTGTTAATAGAGGAGAGATCTTTTCTTGGACATTCTTCCAAGGTAGTACATACTGAAGCTTAATTTGTAGTTAAGGGGAAGCTGAACTAGGGTTCAAAATATCAATTCACCTTTTCACAATAGGTGACCAGTTGATGGGTATTTATGTATCTACCTAGGGCCCTGCTGATGGAAAAGCATGTCCCCTGGGAGGAATTTAAAAATGGTGGATTTTTGTAATTTTTTTTTTTAAAGCATCAGAAGTGGAGTGATTGCCGTAAGGCCACTAGAGAATCTACGCACCTTTCTTTTCCATGAGAGTGTCTCTCATTTCTGCTCAATTTTTGCAGGAGGCAGGTGTTGTTGCTTTCTCTCCAAAAGGCCAACTTGCAATTGGGGCAGAGGAGAAAAGGAGAAACTATACAGCTTCTTCCAGGAAGTGGGAGGAAAGATAACATGGTTTTGCTTCAAGTTGGCAATTTCCCAGAAAGTCCCACCTATGCCTCATTGCTGCTGCTTGCAAAAATCTAATGGAAAGAGGGGGACCCCTTTCTTTATTGCCTATCCCTCTTGCTTTTTTTCTGCTTTGTTTTCTTTCCAGAAGAAGGCACGGCTGACACTTTTATGTAAACATTACCCTTATGGTGGGAGAAAATAGCCTTTCCTTTCCCCCTATGAATAATGCAGAAAAAAAAGAGAGAGGTGGCTTCCATCCCGGAAAATGTGCTTTTTCAGAAAAATGCCTTTGCTGCCACTACCCTCTGCAGAATTCCAAGAGCAGTAAAAGAATCGCCACTTATTTTTGCTGCTGTGATTTGGAAAGGTGGGGATGGAAGGGGTGGTGCTGGGATTTTGCAGGAGGCAGCAGCAGCAGCAGACTTTGGTGCCATTTACAAAAGTTCAGCTTGTGGGATGGAAGTTTTCTCTACACCTGTGGAAAAAAGCAGGTGCCAGTGGTTTCTCTCTCCTCGGGCTTTTGCAGGAAGGAGCAGCAGCAGCATGCTGTTTGCATCTTTTGCAGAAGACCAACTCACCAGCAAACATGCTCCCCTATCCTGAATGCTCTCCATATGCCAGGGGAATGGGGAAGGGAGGGGTCAGTGGCAAACACAAGTCACAGGTCTGCATAATGAGCCAAATTTTGTGACCAGTGTCTACTATCAATTAGTATCAGATTAGTTTATAAAAAGTGATCTCTCTGGCCAATAATTTAGTAATCTGCGACATATTACTTATTCAGCTTACTAAAAATATTATCTGGCAATAAAATTCACTCATTTAGCAACTGTCTCTGTAAAAATTGGTCATTAGTTATGCACCAATATAGTAAGCAAACAAATATAATGACTTTATACACCTTTGTTTTTATTTCCACATTTTAATCCACAATTGATATAGCTGCAAGTAAAAATCTGATCTCAGCACTTGAAAACAAGCACCAGTTTTTTTTTTTCTTCGAATTAAGATAAAACCCAAGTGCCATCAAAGTTCTGCTTATTTAAGAAGGGCAGGAGATGAGAATCAAGTCTTCTCACTGAAGCCGAAAGGGTTAGAATTTACTTCACTCTGGTTAAAGTAAACACAACCTCTGGAAAGATTGCATTTTTCCATAATGGCTTAGCATAGTAATGAATTTTGTATTTTTAGCTTTGGATTCAAAACAGTGCTACTAAGCACTGTATGTTTTCAGTTTTTCTCCTTCACAGGAAAAATTGAGGAGAGGGAAATGAATTAAACACAAGGAGTCCAAATGAACTCCTTTGTTTTAGACTAAATTAACTCATTTCAATAACATATTGTAGTACAATGGTGTATATGAAGAGTAAAGCATTTAGCTAGGCCTCCATATGTATCTTATGAAGTACTGCAACAACCCTGTGGGTAGTATATTCCATTAGCGCCAAACATTTCATTGTCATACAAAAGTTTTACTTCTGTCATTATGATTAGTGCTAAACATCTTTAAAGCTGAAGACACCAGAGTGTTAGATTAAAATTTGCGAAAGCACAAAAATGCAGTGCTCTAAGTATACCATGTCATGTGATGTTCTACAAAATTTAGGCACAATGGATTGAATTAAAAGTTATTTCAGCCTCAGATTTTCTGTTGTTTTATGTATCTCAGTGTGGGTTTTTTCATGGTCCAATCATAATCCCTTTTATGACTCCTATAGTGCAAGTGACACAATACTCTTCTCAGTGAAAGGAATAATTAATATGTTGCTCAGCGAAGGACTGGTGAAACTCTTAGTATCATCCTTAACTATAAAACAGTATGTTATTAATACTCTCACTGCAGACAGGCACAACAGTGTAACCTGGATAGGAATGTGATTTTTAAAAAAATATACAAACATTATATTCCATTTAGCATGGTGGGAAAAGTAGTGACTCTAATGGCTACAAGGCTACATCATGTGCCTCCCTATACTTTGCAAAGATATATTGCCTTGTTTATAGTACAGATCTCTTAAAAATTAGACTCTAGATAATCAATAAAAATCTATTATGATCTCTTCTTTATACAGATTCAGTAGTATTTGAAAGCAAACCAACAAAACAAAGGTCTGCTATTCCAGCACAATAAGAAATAAGGCCTCTCCTATATTGGCAAGAAACACAAAAGTTTTCTTCTTTTAGCTCACTGAATGTAAGAGTATGGTCATTTATTCTTTTAAAAAATGAAATACTACCAACCATTGGTTTGAACTAAAAAAAGTCAACTTCATTTGTTTTTTAAACTTTGAATTCCTGGCATGATAAGGACACACAAACTATGGCTCTTTTATGTAGTAATGACAGCTTTCTTGAGCTTTTCTATTTCCACCTATAGAGAAAAGAAATTAAGATGACATTAATAAAATAATCAACATGTGTTCATTCTGTATACATTTGTAATTCATCAAATACATGTCAAAACTTATCAGTACTTAATTGATGCTGACATACTTCAGATTTTTTTAGCCTGCAACCCTGTTCACTAACTATGCAAACTGGGAGTGTAGCCATAACCATCTGAGGGGACTAGGCTGAAAAAGGCCGACTTATGTAGTCTATCCCTGCCAACACACACACACACACACACACTGTGGAGCCCCTCCTATAGCTATGCTATCTTCCCACCATGGTGCCCTGCATATTTTGGGCCAAAACTCCATTCAGCCAACCAGCATAACTGATGCTCAGTAATACTGCATACTGTATTTGAAGACATTTGAAAGGCGCCATGTTGGGGAATGTTGCTACAGTCAGTATCTATAGCAATCAGGCCAACCAAAAGATCACAAAAATGTACAAAAAACACAAAGATTTCAAGTACATTCTTCGCAATCTTGTAATGTAAGAGCTTTGGCTGTAGGGTGGTATAGACATGAAATGCATAACAGTATTACACTAATATCGATCTTTTCTTATGGCTAGTACAACTACCCTTGCCATAGCAATCAGGATATTCCTGGGGCCACAGTAAAATGTTTTATTTCACTAACTGGAGTCAGACCTATTGTGTCCAATTTCTTGGGAACTTCAGAAGTTTTAATGTATTTTTCCAAGTTTCTGTTATTAGTGGCTGCATGTGAAGTAAAAATTTCATTTAGGGCAAGTATCAAGATTTATTCTTAGGGGACCTGAAGCAGCCTGAAATAAATGCTAGTTGGAAGCTTTTGCATGAGCAATTCCTTATCAGAAATGTTGGGGAGTTGGTTTTGTGTCTTACATGGCCTCTTCCCTGCCTCTTTCTACCTCTGTAACTGGGTTTTCATGACACGATAATTCACCACAGAGGCATGACATCATAATCCACAAAAGCCAGCCTATCAGAATGATCCTTGCTTACAAATGGTGGGAACATCATTCATCCCTTTCATAGCAGAATCTGGGGGCGGGGGGTGTTGATGGGATTCATGTATTGCAAGGGTCCTTTAGCTTTGCAAGTATTCTGATTCTCTTTTATGGGGTAATTGCACTTTGTCAGCTCAACCGATCTGCTGAAATGTAAAGCTCATTTTTTCAAGTAGGATTTAGAAAGGATTAGATTTTCTTATGGGGTTGGAACCTCACAGCTAGTTTACTTTTTTCAGATAAGGGGTTATCTGGTTGACAGCGGTGGCGAGGAGTGCCTTCCTTCAGCTTTGGCTGATTAATCAGCTGTGCCCCTACCTGGAGTGTGACTGCCTGGCGACGGTGACACGCGCTGGTGACTTCCCGCATAGAAGTCTGTAACGCGCTTTACGTGGGGCTTCCCCTGAAGACGGTCCGAACACTTCAATTGGTGCAAAATAGAGCTGCCAAGTTGCTGACGGGGACGGGGCGTTATGCTCACATGACTCCAGTCCTCCATCAGCTTCACTGGCTTCCCATTGAAGCCCGGGCCCAATCCAAGGTGTTGATTATGACCTACAAAGCCCTAAACGGCTTGGGTCCTGGCTACCTGAACGAGCGCTTACGTCCGTATATGCCCGACCGCCCTTTGAGATCTGCGGGAGAGTCCCCTCTCCGGGAACCCTCCATGAAAGAAATTAGGAGAGTAAGTACTCGGAGGAGGGCTTTCTCTGCGGTGGCACCCAACCTATGGAATTCACTCCCCAGAGAGGTCCGCCTGGCACCGTCGTTACTGGTTTTTCGGCGCCAGGTAAAGACCTTTTTATTTAAACATCATTTTAATTGTTAAAATATATGATCTGGCCAGGGCAACTTCTTCTTCCTTCTCTTTTCTCCTCCTATATTCTTTATTTACTTATTTTATACTGTTAATTTTAATTTTATATTATGTTTGTATCTCAGTGTATTTTTTGTATTTTTGTATTTAGTGGTAATTTATTATGTTCTATTGTATTTCAATGTATCTTATTGTGTTGTAAGCCGCCCCGAGGCTTCGGCAAGGGGCGGCATAGAAATGTTACAACAACAACAACAACAACAACAATAACAACAACAACAACAACTGAAAAAGAGCTACATTAACTCATTCTCATCCACAAGTCACCTGACCATTATCCCAAAGTTGCCAGATACAATGGGGTGGAACCAAAGGTGCCCTTCCAATCATGGAAGAGCCTTCAAGCCAATGGAGGCACCCACTACATGAACTAGGGTGAGGGGCAGAAGGAGTCTAGATTGCTAGGGCGGACTGAGCAAACTGGTGAACACTGCCTGCTTGTTCGTGGATGAGCACATGTGAGAAACCCTTTTTCTGAGAGCCAAATGCTGATCATGGGATCACAGGATCTGACTTAGTGGGCAGCCCACCACTAGAGGCAATGTGTGCTGATGACCATTTTGACTATCCAGTCTCCAGAGGGTAGTTGCTGCGGCCTGAGTCTAGGCAGCAGGGATTATCTGCAGTTAAATGAAGCACCAACAGTCCCTGCTGCCTGGGCCTCAATGCCATGACAAGCTAAGGCTTGAGTGGGTAACCTGGCGCCCGTAAGTACTGCAGCTCATCATGGCTTAAGAAGCAACTGTGTGCTGTGCTGTTTTTGCAAGTCTTCAGCTCTAACTGCATTTAAAGGAAATGTCCTCAACCTGTCAGCAGAACAGTCAAGTGAAAATACATAATATTTCATAGTTGCTGCTTTATTGCACCCTGGCTCAATCTTCACTTTATTGATAATAATAGTACCCTCCTGTTACTCTAAGCACCTTACTCAGACATTACCTCTAGGTTGCTACGCATCTGCTTCTCTTCCTCCAAGTCTTTCTTCAATTTTTCCAGTTCTTTCCTTTTAAGTAATAGGCAAATATTGTCATGTAAACAATTTACTCCTGTTACACAAAAATACTTTATGATGAACAAGCTACAAAGTGAAAAGAATACTTCATAAAGGGGGACTACCCAAGTGTACAAGACTGCTAGCAAGATTGGAAGTGAACCTTGGGCTCAAGCATGTCTGCCACCTTCTTCTTCATGAATGAACTAGAGAGATCCTACATTTATTTGAAGAAAGACACAGTTACCTGGCTTGCACTTTACGACAAACATGTTTTCCACCCAGTGTGGTTTCTGCAGGGTGGCTCATTTTGGGCTGTTGATGCCCATAGTGGCTTCTTGTGACACACTGAATCTGCCAGTATGATGTCACTCTGGATTGTTGGGAATGGCTGGAGAGCCACCCAGCAAAAGAGCAAAAAATGCTGAAGCACCTCACAATCTTGCTAGTGCCACACTATCCTCCCTCCTCCCCTTTTTGTGCCCTCCTCCCTGAGTGCCTAACAATCAAGAAGAAAAGACAATGAGAGTGGCCTACACAAGTTCACATTTTTTCTTTTCAGTTCTTTACCAATTCACTTCTACGAAATTTCTGTAACTTCTCCCTCTATTTTATCACTTTGTCTTGAAATTTCTGCCATGACATTTGCATATGTTTGGCAAACCTGGTTTCTGTGCAATAACCCATATGGCAGCTAGCCAGGGACAACAGTGGTGGAAATATGAAGTGGGGAGAAGAACAAAAAGTGGCTGCAGGAAAGAAGCAGCTTTAGGGACAGGCATTACTATCTAAGCAGAACATGAAGTCTTTAAACACTTTCACTAGCAAAGAGGATGAGGTTGAGAAGGACATTAACAAGAGAAGGATATCAATATGCCAGGCTAAACAGCAGGCAAGAGATTTTAGCTCTTGTGGAAGAGTGCAAAATGCCTGCTCTCAAAAGTAGATTGCAGGTGTGTTGCTATGTTCACGAGAGCTTAGAAAATTTAATTCCATTTGGCAATGGGAGGGCTGGGAGGATTCCTTCAGGAGCCAGTCACCACAGCAGACCACTTGCAGAAAGAGTGGAGCAGGGACCAAGGAAAGGGCCATCTGCTGCAAACAACCCAATCATCTGCTGGGTTATCCAATGAACCACCAATACATAATGGTGTATTCTCAGGGTGCCTTATCAGGACCTGTGAACCCCTCCAGCGAGATGAAACCAGGTCAAAACCTCTCCACACATCACTTCCACTGTCCAAAATATATAAACAGCTCTTACCCATGCTCTTTTTTCATTGTTTCCACAACAGATAGCAGGTCAAATATCTGAGATCGCAGCTCTTCCACAGAAGGCTTTCCTCCTTCATCTGTTTCGTGTTTAAGTTTCATTTCCCCAGCAACTGTATTTAGTACAACGGAACTTGGTTTTGGTGATGAAGACAGAACTGGTGAAGTAAATATAGATGGCTGAAATAAAAAGAAAAGTGACCTAAATGGGGTGTCTGCATATACAGTCAATATCTGTTTGTTAAAGGATCAGCAAGATTTGTCAAGGGGCTGACATGCCACCTGCCAGAAAAGCCAGGTTGCCTACCCGTAACTGTCATTCTTCGAGTGGTCATCTGTACAGTCACACATAATGGGTGTTGTGCCTGTGCAGTGCCTGTTGCCGAACAGAATACAAAAGCTTTTAACGGATTTTGGTGGGAACTCTGCACCCCTCCCCTGCGGTGCTATATAGGGCGGAGCGCCCGCCATTTCCCCCAGTCTATGGAGACCGACAGATCGTCCCCTAGTGGAGAGTGTGGTTGACTCGAGGAGTCACTAGGGAGAGTCTGCTGTTCCGTCCTCCAACACCGAGTGGGGCCGGTGGGTGGGTTGTGTGACTGCACAGATGACCACTCGAAGAATGACAGTTACAGGTAAGCAACTGCCTTTCTTCTTCGTGGTCTCTGTGCATCACACATAATGGGTGAACTAGCAAGCTTACCCACCGGAGGTGGGTCAGTGTCGTCAGAGGAGAATCGAAGAGAGGACGGCTCGGCTGAAGGAACTGTCCTGTCTGGCCCGAATGTCGAGTCTGTAATGTCTGGTGAAGGTGCAAGGAGTAGTCCATGTCTCTGCCTTGCAAATGTCCAGTAGCAGGATGCCGGCTGAAAACACAGAGGAGGCAGCCATGGCTCTGGTAGAGTGCTCCTTGGGGGCGACTGGAAGTCCAACTTGGCTAACTGGTATGCCAGTTCGATGGTTTGAATGATCCATTTTGAAAGCCTTTGGGAGGAGATGGTAGCACTCTTGTCGGGTTTGGAGTATTTACTGAAGAGGCGCTTGGTCTTTCTGAAGCTCTTGGTGCAGGACTGATAAAAGGCCAGGCATTGGCGTACATCGAGAGTGGAGGGATTTCTCTATTGGGGTGGAAGGAGTGGGGAAGAACATTGGGAGGACGATGTTCTGATTGACATGGAAGGCTGTAGCGACCTTAGGTAGGAATGCCAGGTCGGTACATAGGACAACCTTTTCCTTATGAAGTTGAAGTAAGGTGGGTCTACACGAAGGGCAGAGAGTTCGCTCGCTCTCCTCGCTGACGTAATGGCGACAAGGAAGGCAGCCTTCCACGATAACAGTCTCAGGTCATTCATTGCCAATGGTTCAAAGGGCCTGGAGTACCACTGACAGACTCCAGGTCGGTACTGAAGGCCGGGATGGTGGCTGGAGATTCTGTAGTCCTTTGAGTAAGCGACGGATAAGCGTGTGGGAAAACACTGTGGATCTGGATAGAGGACCCCGAAAATGGGAAATCGCCGTGATGTACACTCTAATTGAAGTGGGTTAAGGCCATCTTGGTGTAGGGAGAGCAGGAAGGAGAGGATATTATTGATGGAAGCAGAGTTGAGAGAGAAGTGATTGATCTCCACGAAGGCGGCGAAGCATTTCCATTTTGCCTCGTATGACCGGCGGGTAGATGGTCATAGGGCGGATTGCAGTATGAAAGTGATCTCCGGCTGCAGGGAAGTCAGGACGGAGGAGGCTTGGAGAGGGTCGCTCAGTACCAACCGTGGTTCTGGTATCGGTGGAAGAGTAGTGGCCATCGGGATCAATGGGCTTTCCAGGACCGACGGTAGGTGACAGGGAACAGTCAGTGAAGGAGCCACGCAGTGAGGTTGAGGGAATCGAAATTGGGGTGGAGGATCGCCCCCCCACCCCTACATGATCAGGTGAAGGACCCGCAGTAGATGGAAAAATGTTCGGCGGGAGAGGTTGAGGATGGTCAGGAACCAAAGCTGTTGCGGCCACCACGGTGTGATAAGAATGCTCTGTGCCCTGTTGCGGGCAGCCTTTTCCAGGATATGAGTAATTAGTGGGATCAGAGGGAACGTGTAGAGGAACAAATCCGACCAACTCACCATCATGGTATCGCCCCACGAGTTCGGGCCCATTCCTGCCCTGGAGCAGTAGGTCCAGCATTTCGAGTTGGTAGCCATTGAAAACAGGTCCTAGGATGGGGTGCCCCAACGGGAGAAAAGATCCCTGCAAATAAGGTCATCCAACTCCCATTCGTGGGTTGATGACATCTTCCTGCTGAGATAGTCTGCTTCCTCGTTGTCCACCCCTGCCAGGTGTATCGCAAACAGGATGATTCTCCTGGGGATGCACCAGTCCCAAATCTGTAGGGCCAGATAAGCCAGTGGTACCGATCTTGGGACGCCCTGTTTGTTTATGTAGAAAATGGTGACTACGTTGTCGGAGACTATCTGTACCGACTGGTTCTGAAGGGTGGACTTGAAGGAGCACAGCACTTTGAACACCACACCAGCAGTTCGAGAAAGTTGATGTGTTCGGTCTTTTCGCAAGCCTGTCAGGTGCCTTGGGTACGGAGGTTGGCGCAATGTGCTCCCCAGCCCGTAAAGGAAGCGTCGGTATGGAGTGATACCAAGGGCTGTTGTTGGTGGAACAGAATACCCACTGTGAGGTTGTCTTTGTTCGTCCACCAAGACAGAGCCTGGCGAACTGAGGCGGGAGGAAGAAGTGGCCATCTCGTGGAATTGCGATGAGGCTGGAACACACTGTGAACCACACCTGAAGAGGTTGCATCCGGAGTCTGGCTTTCGGAACGACTGCAATTGTCGAGGCCATGTGTCCTAGAACAGCCAATGCCCGGGTATGTTCACTCTCCTGGACGTGCCTGGCGGAGGAGCGAAGATTCTCCATTCGAGCCCGTGGGAGTAAAGCTTTTGCCTGAATGGAGTCAAGCTGTGCCCCAATAAATTTGATGACCTGCGAGGGAGTGAGACAGGATTTTTTGGCATTAATGCATAGTCCGAGGCCATCCAGAAGGGCACATGTAGTGTCAATGGCCGAAATGAGTTGGTCTCGAGAGGAGGGGACGATGAGCCAATCGTCTAAGTAGGGGTAAATTTGTACACCTTGTAGGCAAAGGTGGGCGCAGACCGGTGCCATGCATTTTGTAAAAACTCTAGGAGCTGTGGCAAGTCCAAAAGGAAGAACCTTATACTCAAAGATATCAGATCTGACTGTGAAGCAGAGAAGCCGCCTGTGATCTGGGTGGATGCTGACATGGAAATAGGCATCTTTTAAATCTAAGGATGTGAACCAATCTTCTCTCTCTAGTAAGGGGAGGATATTTTGCAGGGTGGTCATGCAAAATTTTTTAGTTGTAATGAATGCACTGACGCCCTGTAGATCGAATATGGGACGTAGACCACCATCCCATTTCGGGACCACAAAGTATCTGGAATAGAAGCCGTGAAGCCCCTTGGAACGGGAGATTTGACGAATCGCTCCTTTATGGAGTAGCTGGAATACCTCATCTCTGAGGACCTCCAACAGGGCGGTGTATCGTATTGGTCCCGAGGGGAACACGGTGTCGAACTCGATCTTATATCCATTCTTAATGATGGAAAGTACCCATTTATCAGGTGTGATGGACTCCCAAATGGGGAGCAGGCTTTGCAGCAGGTTCCCAAAAGGGGGGAAGGGTAGAAGAGGAGAGAGAAGATCAGCTCACGCAGCCTGTCAATGCTGCCGCTTGTCGGTGAATTGGCGGTGGCAGCCTTATTGGCTCTGTGTGGCTGGTAGTCCCCAGTTGTGCTGCTGGCATGGCTGGTACTGCTGACGCGGTTGGTAGTGATGGTAGGGTTGGTATCGAGGATAGAGAGACTGAGGCCACTTACAACAGTTAGAGTTCAGAATTTCCAACTTCTGAGCGGTAGCTCAAGTGTTGTAGGTGTGCTCGCGCTTATGGTCCATGCAGTCATGGACCAGAACCATCGAAGGGTATTCCCTTGATCTGGCGCTTGGTCTCATCGGGAAAGTTGCAGGAGCATAGCCAGGTGTGTTGGCGAAGGGCAATGGATCCAACGAGTTCACGGGAGTCGCAGTCTACATGATGGCGGGCCATGGTGAGTTGTTGTATGGAGAGCTGCATAGCCTCCTGGATGAAAACGTGGGCCTCGTAGGGCATCGGAACCCAGCTCCTGGCAGGCTGATCCAAAGTGCGGTAGTGGCAGTGGGAGTCGGCCGGTGGGGGAGGCCTTGGAGACACCTTGGGCGATGAAGGCATCGGCGTCGGAGAGCGAGCTGGCTGATGGCTTGGTAGCGACTGCGGAGGCGAGTCTGGGATTTCCCATATCGATCCATGAACGATGGACTCAGGGGGATCCAATGCCGTAGGAGCCGGTGATGTGACCCTCTGAGGGGATCCGAGAGGCGTAACCTGCATCAGCGCCTGCAGTGTCAGTGTCGAAGGCATCGGGACAGATGAGGCCGTCTGGACCAATGGGGCAGTCGAACCCGAGTCTCGGCGTGGCTCCTGGGCAGGCTTATGGTGTCTGTGGCTGGCCTTATCGGTCTTCTCCTTCTTAGTTTTCTTTGAGACCGACAGATCCCCTTGGCCAGTGTGCTCCTCTTCTCCTTTTGTTTGAGTGAGGAGGAATGGGAGGAGTGAGAGGTCTCCCTGGAAGCAGCTCCCTCAGAGTGTGGACAAGGGGAGGTCACCACGGAGGGCCCAGCCAGAGCGGTCTGAGCAACAAGCTCATCAGAGGCTATCAGGGCTTGATCCCAAAGGATCTTCCTCAGCTGATTTTCCCAATTTTTCCAGGCTTGCTTGGTGAAAGCCTGGCAGTATGGGCATTTGTCAGTGCGGTGTCCCTCTCCCAGGCAGAGGAGGCAGAGCTCATGCGGGTCCGTTGGGGACATTTTGGCCCCGCATTTGGAGCACTTTTGAAAAGCCGCACGCTGAGCCATCGAGGAGAAAGATAGTGAAGACGGATAGTATAAGGTAAGAAGGATTTTTTTTTTTAATTTTAGTAAGAAAAAGGGGGGAAGTGTTTAACTAGGGAAGGTAACGGCAAAAAACTTGGATTATTTTAACTGGGAAAAGAGAAGAGAAAAAAGGCTATCAGAGTAAAGAGAGATATGAACGTTAACAAATGGCTCGAGGCAAGTGCGATCGGCGGTTGAAAGAAGAGTGGGGGAAATGGCGGGCGCTCTGCCCTATATAGCCCCGCGGGGGAGGGGTGTGGAATTCCCGCCAAAATCCGTTAGAGCTTTCGTATTCTACCCAGCAACAGGCACCGTGCAGGCGCAGCACCCATTATGTGTGATGCACAGAGATCACGAAGAAGAATAACTTTCAGTTATGTCTAGGTAGGTAATGGTTGAATGACATTCTACAGTGATGCAAACACAGTTCTTTCATTGACCCTACAACGGGAAACCACACATATTTCAGAGTTATCTGACAATCACTCACAAAAACTATATAACAGTTATGATCAGTGCAAGCTTTTCATGAAAAATAAATGTTAAGCAATTTTTTATTTCAGTAACTGTTAGTAGTAATATTATTTAAATCATTTATATGTTACTCCCCATCTAAACAGATTTAGAGCAGTGGATAATAGAAGATAAAACAACCATATTAAAATTATTGTTTTTAAAAACAGAGGACCAATTAAACTGTGGCTGGTCAATCAAGGAAGGAATCTTCAAATAAATACATTTTCATGAGGTACAACCCCTTTTGGCACCTGCCTGACTTCTGGTGGCAGCAACTTTCACAGAAGGGGGTTGCAAGAGATTCCTCTGGACATGGCCACAGGTCACAAGTGGAACCAACAGGAGCATGCCATCTAATGTCTTCAGTGACTGGGCAGGTGGATAAGGAAGAAGGTAGTCTCTCAGGTATTCTTTCCCGACATTATTTAGGGCTTTATATACTAGTACCAAAACCTAAACTTGGCCTGGTGGAACAGGCATCCAGAGAAGTTCCTTCAAGAGTTGCACGCATGAGTTGTACAACAGAGAAAGCTGCAGGCAACAGCTGAGCTCCTGAAATCTGCAGGAACCCCAGCCTCTGGACCAGGCTTAAGGGCAGCTCCACATAGAATGCACTGCAAAAATTCAGTCTTGAAGTTACTAGTGTCTGTGCCATCTTAGCCAAGCTTTTTTTATGTGTTTTGTAAACTTCCCAGAGCGCTTCTGTTGCTGGGTGGTATAGAAACTAATTAAATAAATAAATCCCTGTCCAGAAACGGCTGTAGGTAGTGAACCTGCTCAGGCTGGTAAAAGGCAACCCAAGCTGCCAAGACCATTTGGCATTCCAGCAATGTCACAGATCTAGCAGCACTCCCCAGAGTATGCAGTAACCTTTCAAAGAAAGTGCAACCCTATCCAGAGCTGGCAATGAGCCTATTTCATTAGACTGGGGAACCACTCACCAGCTTTGCTTTGCTTTACTTTGGTTTGTTCGCATTCAGCTTCAGTTTAGTGGCCCTCATCCAGCACATCCTTGAGTCCACTGATCCAGGATTTGGACAGCCTCACCTGATTCATATGTCATCAGTGTACTGATGGCACTTGGTTCCGTACCTTCTAATGACCCCAGTGGCTTCAAATAGATGTTGAATGATATTTATTTATTTAGTCATTCATATGCTGCCTGTAACAGCCCAAGGCCTTTCTAAGTGGCTTACAAGTAACTATTGAGGATAAGAACCCCATGGCTCAATTGCCAAGGCACTGAAGAGTAGTCACCTAATCTTACAGGCATGACTATGTGCTCCAGAGCAGTAGTTTTCGACCTTTTCATACCTGGGGACCAGCAAAAACAGGAAAACCACCTTGAGGACTGCTGAGGCAGAAACAAAAAGCTGTCTCTCCACTTCCCAGCCCCACTGGCAGTACCAGTGCACCACCCATGAACTTCCTCTTCCAGTTGAGGAAGAGGTGGGAGAGCACAACCAGCCCCCACACTAGTCTGCAGTGAGTAGGATGTGGCCCCTCCACAGATCGGCAGGAAACCCCTTGCAGACCATCACTAGTCCACAGACCAGTGGTTGAAAACCACTGCTCTAGAGCATGTTCCATCATCTTCATTTTCCATCTTACACCATTTGCACTCTGCCATCCTCCACCCTGTTGCACTGACTGCAGCTCCCCAGGATACCAAGCAGCAGAGTGCTTCATGCAACATCAGGCAGGGCACTAAGGGGCAGTCAAGTTGATGCCCCTCCACATCACCACTGCTCCCCAGTGATACCAGGTCTTTGACTGGATCACCAGCTCTCACCAGAGGAAAATATACAGAAGCCCATCGGATCCCGTCAGTCCCAGAAATGAACATCCAAATGTGTTCCCATGATTGTGGGAAGGAAGTAATGCCATGAGTTCAAACTCCATCAGGAAATGGTCTGACCATGATAACATATTCAGCCTAATTATCTCAAAGCTTGGAGCAAATGACAAAACAAGAGTAGCCCCTGTGCCATGTGCTGGGCAAATGACAAGCTGAGATAGTTCCACAGTTGTGATGGAATATATGAAGTTGCAAGGTGGAGCTCCAGAGACAGCATGAAGTTTAAAATCACCCAGAACCACTACACTGGGTTCCTCCAACACCATGCTTGAGACCAGCTCTGGCAGCATGATTAGAATGATTGCTGGGCAGCAAAGTAGGGGGCACACCAGCAACATCCCCATTCTGTTTCTGTGACCAACACCAGGTGCAACCACTCAAGGCCTGCTTCAAAATGGTGTAGTTTCCTGGTGAGTGTGATGGAAGTTCTGTAAACCACAGCAACTCCTCCCACCCTCCGGCCTATCTTGGTGCTGCACGGAGCACTGGGGTAGGCAGGACTGAGGATGATCTCACCCAGCTCACCCACCCTAGTCTCCGAAATCCATGCCAGATCAGCATTCCATGATTTAACTCATGAATGAGTGACCTGCTGTGAAACAGCAGTATAGCAAGTGATTTCTCAATGGAGGAACTACAAGATACATGAAAACTAGGGGATGGGGGTGATAGAAAGGGAACAGTATATAAACATCTGTAAGCCATTCTGCTCTGATGTCCCAACACTCTGTTCCTGCCATACTCCTGCTCCAAGTCAGTACAACAGAGATACCATTTCCACTGGTCCCTGTGTTGCTTTTGTAAATCCTTATCCCTCCAAAACTTTCCATGCTCTCTTAACCCCCATTCACAATTCAAACATACCTTTAACTACTCACAACTGAACACTCTGCATTTATCCAAGCAATCACATACAAGCAACCTAGCACAATCAACTACAATTATACCTTGTAGTTACAACAAGCCACTGGTCACATCAGGCCTGACAGAACACCAAGCAAGACAGAGAACAACTAGAGCACCCATTTCCTAGCCATCCAAACACAGTTCTGCTCATTCAGGCTCACTCCATCTCTTACTGGAAGTGCTGAAAATAATTCTCCTCTCTGGCTCCCACCCAGACGGAAACCTACCTCTACACAGCACAGGTTTCCACTCTAGCACACAAGGCCCCCAGCCCCATCTTTCATGTAAGCTGGACAATAGTGCATGACCTCCTAAGGAAGGGAGAGAACTATCATCTCACCCAGCAACACCGCCCCCATGACTCCCAGAACAGGTGTAAACTAGACAAGCAAGCAAGTGAAGTAGAGAGAAAGAGAATGTAAGGCACACCCCTGGTTAGATATCTAAGAGGCCTGATGGTCTGCCAAGAGGCAAGAGCAGCATAGGCAGAGACTGGGAGAGAGCGCTGAGTGATCAGGGGACTGGCGAAGGCACGGTAGGAGCTGGGCAGCAGAGCAGAGGGCCAGGAGCGGCAGAGAGGAAGGGGGCGGGGCCAGAGAGGCTAGAGGGGCAGGAGGAGGCAGAGGGGTGGGGTGTCGTCCCTTGTCTGCATCCCTTGGCTACGGCCCAGGCTGTCCGGAGACTCCCTTCCCTGAGACACAGAGGTTTGATTGTTTGTTTGGTTGGTTTGTGCTGTGCTGTGCTTTGTTTTTCTTCCAATTTAAATTTAAGTTTATTTTATCCTTGTGTGTGTGTGTGCAAGTGGGTTTTCGTCTGGGAGAACTGGGCGAGTGAGAGGGACTGCAGGACTAACAAGGCGGGGGACCAAGGTAAGGTCTTGGAAGGGATACCGATGGCAGACCAGGAGATGGCCTTGGCGGGAGTCACGGGTGTTGCTGTCCGCTGCGAGAGCTGCAACATGTTCGCCTTTCTCCCCCAGGAGAGGCAGGGATACACTTGCCCTCGGTGCAAGATGGTGACCCTGCTAGAAGAGGAGGTGAGGTGCCTGAGGACCGAGAGAGTTCTCCAGGCCCCCCCGGAGCAGCCCCCCTCTGGACAGAGGGTTGAGAGAGAAGCCACGGGAGGAGCAGCTGCGGAGACATGGAGGTATGTCACTCACAGGAGGCCAGCACGGCCTGCACCTTCTCCTGGCACCAATCTGGAGCTGGGAAACAGGTTCTCTCCACTTGGGGAGGCTGGGGCTGATGAGGCCTCGGGGGACCAGCAGGACCCCCAGCCTGAGATGTCAGGCAGCAAGGGGGCCGCTGCAGGAGAGGCGAGGGCCAGGGCACGGCCGCCCACCAGCACCGGAAAGGTACGGCGGCGGGTGATTGTTGTTGGGGATTCCCTGCTGAGGGGCACTGAGCCGGCGGTGTGCTGCCTCAACCTGGAGACAAGGGAGGTTTGCTGCCTGCCGGGCACACGCATCCGGCATGTGATGGACAAAGTGGAGAGTCTTGTTCGCTCCAGGGGTCACCAGCCGCTCCTGGTGATCCATGTGGGCACAAACGATGTGGCCAGGCAGGGTGTGGTTGGGACCACCAGGGACTTTGAGGCCTTGGGGAAGAAACTCAGGGAGCTAAAGGCCCAAGTGGCCTTCTCGTCAATCTTACCTGTCTGGGGATTTGGGCCAGGATGAGACAGGAGGGCCTCCGAGGTGAACGACTGGCTTAGGGTGTGGTGCCAGAAGGAACACTTCGGGTTCCTCGACCACGGGACTCGTTTTCTTGCCAATGGACGGGCTATACCTCACGAGGATGGGGAAAAGGTCCTTTGGAGATGCTCTAGCGAGCTTCGTCTGGAAGATTTAAACTGAGCCGGGGGGGGGGGTTCAGGCCCCCCAGGAACGGGCCTGCACTGGACAAGTGTGGGGGAAGAATCAGGGCTCTGGGAGCAGGGTTTTAGAGATACTGCAGGGACTGACAGGACTCCTTCAGAGAGGGGCCAGGTATTTGGGAGGATGGGAGGAAGGAGGAGGCTGGGGTCTCCAAGGAAAGGAAGTGGTGGAAAGGAGTTGAGGTGCATGTACACCAATGCTAGGAGCATGGGTAATAAGCAGGAAGAGCTTGAAGCTCTCCTGGGAATAGGGCGGTATGACCTGGTGGGAATCACAAAAACTTGGTGGGATGAAAGGCAAGTCTGGAATGTGAACATAGAAGGGTATCACCTTTTTAGAAAGGACAGGAAGGGAAAGAGGGGTGGGGGCGTGGCTTTATACGTCAGGGAAGGGATAGGATGCAGTGAGATAAAATGCAGCACAGATGGGGATTCGGTAGAGGCAGTCTGAATGAAACTTAGGGGTTTTGACAGGTTAAGAGACCTGACAGTGGGGGTATGTTATCGCCCTCCAGGTCAACTTGAGACCCTGGAGGATGTCCTGACAGGCCAGATTCTAAGGATATTTCGGGGGAGAGACACAGTAATTATGGGAGATTTCAATCTCCCAGATATTAGTTGGCAGACTCACTCGGCGGTGACAGCCAAGTCACGACGCTTCCTAGAAGCTATTGAGGGAGCGTTTTTCACACAGAGGGTCTGACAGGCTACGAGGGGGGGAAACATCCTTGACTTGGTCTTGACCAATAGGGAGGAGCTGATAGATGAAGTACAGATTAGGGGAGCTCCGGATGCAAGTGGTCACTCCATCCTTTGCTTTGAGATCAGGGGACTGCGAACAGGCAGCAGGTCGAGCACTAGAAGCTGGGACTTCAAGAGGGCCAGCTTCAGCCAACTGATGGCCAGACTGGGGAAAGTCTCCTGGGATAGGTTACTGGAAGGTAAGCGAGTTGAGGAGGGGTGGATAGCACTCAAAAGGGAGGTTTTGGAGGTGCAAGCCTTGACGATACCTCTGGTCAGTAAGGTGGGGAGCTGGAGGAGAGTGTCGCCATGGATGCAAAAGGAGGTGGTTAGAGGGATTAGACCAAAGAGGAACCTCCGTAGGAAATGGGTACTAGGGGAAATAGGCAAAAGGGTATACCGGGAGGAGGAGGCCTGTTGCAGAAGGATTCTTCGCAAGGCTAAGGCTGATTACGAGCTGAGATTTGCCAAGAATATCAAGAGCAATAAAAAGGGCTTCTTTCAACATGTAAATAGGAAGAGGAAGGGGAGACTAAGAAAGACCACTAAATAAGGAGAAAGGAGATCCAGTGACTGATATGAGGGAACAGGCACAGATGCTAAATGACTATTTTGCCTCTGTGTTCTCCCCAAAGCAGGATGGGGAATATCCGCATAGGAGATTAGATGAGGCTGGGGACTTAGGGGCACAGATTAGAGTCACCTCCCTAGAAGTCGAGGGGCTCCTCAGGACATTGGACATTACAAAGGTGCCAGGCCCTGACGTTTTACACCCAAGAGTACCTAGAGAGTTGGCAGGGGTTCTCTCACGCCCGCTGGCCTCCATTTTTGAGACCTCATGGAGAATGGGTGAAATTCCAGAGGACTGGAGGGTGGCATCAGTGGTCCCAATTTTCAAAAAGGGTAGTAGAAAGGACATGGGGAATTATCGACCGGTTAGCCTTACGTCCATTGCAGGAAAAACAATGGAAAGGCTCATAATAGAGAGAGATCTAGTGATGCTAGATAGGGAAGGGAGGCTGACACGGCTTCCGCAAAAACAGGTCCTGCCAGACAAACCTTGTGGAATTCTATGACAAGGTTTTGCGATGGGTAGATGGAGGGGATACAGTGGATGTGGTTTACCTGGATTTCAGCAAGGCCTTTGACTAAGTGCCCCATGATATCCTGGTGGAGAAACTGAGGAGTTTTGGGATACACCAAAGCACTGTCTGGTGGATTAGGGCATGGTTGACTGACCGAAAGCAGAAGGTAACCATTAATGGGGAATCATTGGGATGGCGGCCAGTGACAAGCGGGGTCCCCCAGGGCTCAGTCCTGGAGCCGATCCTGTTTAATTTTTTTCATTAACGGCATGGAAGAAGGGGTGAATGGTCTGCTGATCAAATTCGCAGATGACACTAAAACTGGAGCAGTGGCCACAACTGAGGAGCAGGTACTCCAGATCCAAAAGGATCTGGACAGACTATGGAAGTGGGCAGGAGACAACAGGATGGCGTTCAATGTGGATAAGTGCAAGGTCTTGCACTTGGGCCACAGGAATAGCTGTCATAAGTACAGGTTAGGGGACAAGTGGCTGGAGAGCAGCACCTGTGAAAGGGAACTCAGGGTGCTGGTTGACTGCAGGCTGAACATGAGTCAGCAGTGTGATGTGGTGGTCAAGAGGGCGAACGCCACACTTGGTTGCATAGCCAGAAGTGTGGCTTCTAGATCAAGAGAGGTATTACTGCCATTCTACACGACTCTAGTGCGTACGCAACTGGAGTATTGTGTACAGTTTTGGGCCCCTCATTACAGGAAGGATATAGTCAGGTTAGAATCAGTGCAGCGTAGGGCCACAAGGTTGGTGGCCGGTTTGCAGGGGATGCTGAATGAGGCGAGACCGAGGGAACTGGGTCTCTTCAGCCTGGAGAAGAGGAGACTCAGAGGGGATATGTTGGCGACATACAGGTATGTAAGGGGATGTCATACGGAGATGGGTAGAGACCTGTTCTCCCCTGCAGAGGAAGGCAGAACGCGCTCCAATGGAGCAAAGCTCAGGGAGCCAAGGTTTCGTTTGGATGCCAGGAAGCACTTCCTGACAGTCAGGAGCCTGAGGGTGTGGAATGGGCTTCCATGAGAGGTCGTTGAGGCCCCATCAGTGTGGGTGTTCAAGGATAGGCTGGACATCCACATGGTGGGCATGTCGTGAGCGGAGCTGGCTGGTGCCGGAAGTCAGACTAGATGGCCCGGGAGTTCCCTTCTGACTCGCTCTGTTTTCTATGTTTCTATGTTTCAACTCAAAGTTGGTGCCCTGCCTCATTTATGTGGCTTCTCCAGCAGGTGTTCCCATTCAGCAACTGAGATCAATCCAACACAAGGAAGAATTACTGGGAGGTAAGGGTGGAAGTTGCAAAGTAGTTGTTCAAAGCCTAAAATAGTCCTGGGGGGTGGAGCCAGCTCGGAATGGGTTTCAGACGCTAAAATCTGCACTCCTCCTGATCATTGACAAAATATGATTAAAATATACTCAAATTAAGATAAAGAAACACTGGATAAATGCATAAAATGTAAGTCAATTCCTTTGTTTATCTCCTGGGAAGATTTGAAACACTGACGTAGACTAAGAGTCGTTTTTGTGATCTGAAACTGCTAAGCCTAGCCCAGAGTAAGCCATATTTCGACCATCTCTGGATTGAGAAACAGCATTTATGTTATAAATACTCCGGCCACTTATTAAAATAAGCTTAAAAACAGCTAGGGAAGCGGAGATAAAGAGAAGGTTACTTTCTTGAAGGATTTTTTTTTTTATAAGAAGTGACTCTTCTCTCTCCCCCCAGGCAACTGGAAGGCTGAGAGAGTGCCAATACCAAAAACAGTTGGACAGAGCTGTAAGGAATACAGATTAAAGCTAATTAACATCCCAGGACTAACTTTTCCGCTGTTGTTTATATTATAAGAAAATAACGAGCAATTTACAAAAAAGCAAAAAACCTAACAAATAAACAAGCAAGTACACAAACTACGTTGTAATGGAATTGCATCTGAATCTGAGCTCCCTCTGCCGGGCTAATTGTTAAATTGCAGCTGCTAATTCATTTATTGATTGAAAGTGTAATTCAATGTGTAATTTGAAATGATCATAAAAGAATGTGAGACTGAGGAAGAATGTATAAGTAAAGGAAGAATTGTCAAAATCTATATGATATTAATGGAGCTAGGGGATCAGACAAAAAGTTTAAAATCAATTTGAGAAATGGATGTAGGTGAAATAAAAGACAAGGACTGGAAGAATATTTGGAATAGAAGAGTATATAAGAATATGTCAGTTAGAATTAAAGAGCATGGATACACAGTGATATGGAGATGATACTTAACACCAGGTAAGTTAAATTAAATTGATGACAAATATTCTAATATATGTTGGAGATGTGGTAAAGAGATCGGAACTTATAAACATATGTGGTGGGATTGTGAAAATATACAAAAGATTTGGATTATGGTATTTAAGGAAATTGGAGAAATTTTAGATATAGACTTAGAAATGTCACCAAGAATGGTGTTATTACTGTTGATAGAAAAACAAGATATAAATGAAGCTAAGAAAGAATTGATTGTAAGTATGATAATGGCAGTTAGGTCAGTGATAGTTAAATATTGGAAGCAGAATTAGGTTTTGCAAAGGCATGAATGGTATAATGAAATATGAAATATGGTAATTAATGATAAACTGATGACAGAAATAAAAATTAAAAGAAGGTTAATGAAAGCAAATAAATATAATGAAATTTGGGAAGATTTTGTAAAAGCGTTACTGATAGAAGGCAAAGGCGGTAAAATCCAGTCAAGATTATATGAACTTCTGGAGAGGATATGGAAATAATTGAAGTATATTATATATTATTAATTGTTATGGTACGTGAATGGTGGTAGCATTGGTCTCCGGGGTGGTGGGGGCACTTATTATTTACTTTTTTATTATTGTGTTTTTGTTATATTATTATTGTTGTGATGTATTGTAATTACTTTTTTGTCAAAAAAAATAAAAAATGGGGGGAAGGAAAAAAAAAGCCTAAAACTGTCCTCTTCCCCAACTCCAGCTCTCCTGAACAGTCACGAAGTGCAGAGTTTCAACACCTAGTTGCATTTTTTCTCATAACTGCCACTGAGCTAGGCAACACAAATCTGCATCACTGTGCCAGGAAAGTCATCTTATAATAATACTTTGAAACACTGGTATGATTAAGCTTCTTATTACCAATAACACAAACAATAGCAACACTGTACCTTTCTAACCTCAGATGGTTTTAGTCTGGCACTTCCCTCCTCCTCTTTATGGACCATCACACTCTTCTGTATACTCAGAGTTGGAGTAGACTAGAGAGAAAAAGGAAAATATATAACAAAACAAAAATTATTGCTCTTTGAGAAGTACATATGAAGTATGAGAAGTATATATGAAGACACATGCCAACTTATCTGCATATTCACATTATAAGCTATTATTTGTTAAGTCCTTTTTCTGCTGTACTTGTTTATAACACTAAGGTCATTTTACTTTCAAATATACTATAACTGAAAGCTCTTAAGTGATCATATCTGAAATTTCTGTAAGATCCTGATATCGACTGAGTCTCTAAGAAGGATCACATGTTATTTACACTTCAATAAATTGTTCTTCTGGTATTCTCAAATCACCTCAGTTTCATTCCACTTTCTCTACGCTGGTAACTTTGTACTTGACAAGAAGTCTGAAGTGGTATTAGAGAAAGAGATATGCATACAAAGAAACACACAACCCCAACACACACACGTACATGGGGTGGGGGGAGCTTTCTATGTATATTGAATATAATTTGTTTTGCTCTAAACTGTTTTTGAAAAAACTGTTTACTTATCATTTTTGCCAATGAATGCAGAGATGACTTAAGATCACTCATTTCCATTGGTCAGCAATCTGTTTCTGATTCAAGTTCACAGTGTTGGTTATACAAACCATCTTCCCCCATACGACTCCCCACTTCATGAACGTACAACTGAAAGAAATTGCTTCAAGGTAACTCTACTATATGCAATTGCATACAATCAAGGAAGAGAGTTTCCCAATGGTAATATCTATACTGTTACACTGTTGTCCAGGTGGGAAAGGCCAGCCTCACCTACTGAAATGCAACTGGGGGGAAACTATCTACTGAGTAGATACTCCTTTGGACTGTGAATACTTGGGAGTTTATTAACTGCTGCTGCTTCCTAAAATTTAATTTTCAGAATGTGCAGTGATTATGTAGTTTAATAGTTTTAGGGTACAATCCACTACAGAAAAAATTCTTGTGGCTCACAGCATCCTTCCAGCCAGTCACGCTGGAACATGTGGAGAACTATAGGATGTGTTTATTTCATTATGGTGTGATTTGTTATCAAAAATACTAGCTGAACACAATGGTTGAATAAAAGCACAACTCTCTGTCTCTGTCTCTCTCTCTCACACACACAGTCTTTACCAAACAGCCAAGAAGTGAGGGGGAAATCCAAAACCATATTTGTTTTTGTTGCTCTAAGACAGTTAATACCTTAAAATATTTGGCATTGCATAACAGTATTTGACTAGTGAATTCGCCAAATCTATTTGACTGGTGACATGCCCAACTGTAGTTTAAGGCTCTTTCATGATACTGCTATTGTTCTTCATCTAGTTTGCTGTAAACTGCTTAGCATTTGGCAGAAAAGAGACATATATTATCCATTAAAGAGCCAGTATTACGAAGTGCACTTCTCAGATGGAAATTATGTGCCCAATGTTTCTCTGCAAAAAGTTATACAGTTCATGTACTCACAGAATTATTGCCATTGAAGCGAGCAGGAAGCCTCCTGCCAGGCATCTTTGGCCTATTTGCTGTGGGATGCGATAAATTATCTGAGGTAGATATTACATCATCAAAACTTAAAAGGTCTAAAAGAGAGTTGAAAGCAGAGAGAACAATTAAAGGTCAGCAGACATTAATAAGGCAGCATTTTAGAGGAACATCCTGGGCTATTCATGCAATGGGAGAACTCTCTGTTTGCATTACGGGGGCTTGTGGCTTTTACAGCAACTTGAAAGGAGTGGGAATGGGTGAGGCTGGACTGGGACAGGTCAGTGGAACTTGCAGAAGGCAGCTCCACTGGCCTGTTCCAATCAGGAAACAAACACTTCTGCTAGCTTTGGTGCAAATTTCCTATAGCATAAGTGGTGGGTCCAGCAGGCACAACAGAAGGAAGAGGAGTACAGCAGCAATACTGGATATTGCCCTTAGATTCTACTGTAGAATTCTATGACACTGCCAAAAAACAGCACAACACAACACAAACCACGCTCACACCAAGACACTGTGATTCAATACAGTGATGTACAAAATAAGAATCAAAGTTGGAAGCTAAAAGAGGATTCTAGAATTTTTTAAAAATCAAATGAACAATAAAACTGGGAGCAATGGTAACAAAAGCTGTATTAGCAGTGCAAATTGCTAAGCATGACATACTGAATGCAAATTGAAGGTGTAACATACATGGTAGCTCTTAGGAAGCAACTGCAATTAAACACTTAAACAAAACATGCAGCTAAAGCAATGAAGTATCTAATAGCATCCCATATTATCAAGTAGTTGCTTAGTCCCACAAGTTTTCTATTAATTTTTATGTTTATAGAAACCTGTCCAATACAACTCTGGGGCTTGAGGAGTGGGGGTCCTGCAAAATTCTGAATTCCGAAAGCTAAAGTTGTTTAATATGATTACAGAATTTCACTCTATGAATATGCATGCAAAAAATGTCCATTGCTTTTGTATCTTCTGTATCAATTTATTCTCACTCACTTATTCACACTATAGTTTTGCTATAAGTGCTTCTTTATCATTCACACAAAGGAACACGAGTTCATACTACCCACACAAACCACTATAGATGCTGTTCCTTAACACTATTCACAAAATCCTCTCCCCAGTACGAGCTTACTCTACTCATAAACCTTAACACATAATTCAAGGAGCACCCTTCACGTATCACTTCTTCCCATGGCTGCATCTCCTCCTACTGATAGCCATTGTGCATGAAGGTTTGCGGTGCTCTCTCTCTCTGCCTTCAGATGGACCTCCCTTGCAATCAGGAGACAAGCTACCATCTCACTGTGCCCCCAGCTGCCAAATCACAGAGCTGATCCAGAACAATACAGTGCTTGAGTGCATCAAGCAATCAGGACCGAGACGAATCAACAGGTTGCACTACCCCATCCCTCTCTTGGTACATGCATCTATCAGGGTGGTTAAGGTTGTTCCTGCACTCACACCAGGCCTGAAACACAATTGAAATGGACCCATTTCATTCAAAACAGCCTAGAGATTTACAGCCACCACATACTTCAGATAGTTACAATGGGAATTTTGAAAGTAGCCGGTTATCTGTCCCCAGCCTCATCTCTTCCTTGCCCCACAAGCTTTTTAAGGCTGGACAAGTATCCCTTTCAAGATGGCTAGTACTGTTTCTGTCTCACAGTAAGGAATTAGAAACCCCCTAAACGCTAGTCAATCTTCTCCTATGCAATGTAACCAACTAAGAAAGGCAAAGGTTGAACACATTTTTTAAAAAGGGCCTCACTTATTCAGCTACCTTGTAGATATCCTCAAATTTTCAAAACTGAACTTTCATTGCACAACAATGAACCTTTTAATATCCTCAGACGGCACTAGCAAACTTAAAAGAACTATAAACAACTTGATGTAGGATGTGCCTTTCAAACAAATTGAATGAATGCATGTGCAGAAAATGGAAAGCTGGTTTATTATTTGAAAGGAAGGACAGAAATAAACAGTTGTTTGAGTGTGCTAAATTTAGCATGTTAAAAGGGTTCAGTGCCTTCATTTTTTTAAAAAAAGTAATTATTGTAGATACCTTTTAAAGTTTATCGCTAATCCATTAAAATAATTTTCAAATAATTTTTCATGATTATAACATTTAAGTAACACTACTGGCGCAATCCAATAGACATGTGCTTGGAAGTAAAGTCCCATTTCAGTTCAGTGATATATACTCCCAGGTAAGTTCACAAAGAACTGCAGCCAGACTGAGCAAGTACACTTACAAACAAATACCACTGTGTCCAACTAATAAGAGTATTTAGGACTGCAGTATCCATGTGATTTATTATTTTTTTCCTAATAAACTATGCAGCAACGATAAACTCTCAGTATGTTAACTATACTTTTCATTGATTACTGTCAAACAAACTTGTTATATCAAATCCTAATGGACTTTGAGTGTCGTGTGCAAAAAACTTGAATTAATCCCAACTCTCAATTTTCTGGAAAAACCTCTTATATAGGGAAGCTTCTTTTGAACTCAGTATTTCCCATTCAGCATGGGTAGATGGGGTGGGGGGAGTGACAAACATGTTCCTTCCTACCCACCCCCTTAATTATTTTGAGTTACTACCACAGACAAAAGCAAGTCCATAATTCTTTAAGGAGTAAGACTGTCCTGAGACATTTCTCTCTGCAATTCTCTCTTTGAGACTGCTTGCATGAAGTAACAATCCAGCTGCTAAGAGTATTTAAACCATGGTGAGGCTTCAGCACACATATGGGGTGTATGAAGCCATGATTTTGAATATGCAACCCCTGCTTGGGAGTTGTTGTGTCAGGCAAACACAACACACATGGTGTGTTTTCAGGTTATACAAGGGCTGCATGTTTAATTTGGTGCAAGCGGGCTGCTTGTGGATTTACTTAACCCACGACAAGCACAGCTCACTGTCCAAACATGGCCACTGTATGTATCAATCCACTTTAGAGTAATTCTATTTATTTTACAGTATGCCTTTTTCTCAAAGTGATTAAAATATGCCAGATAGATGCAACTCTCTCATTCTCTCTCACTTTGTGTGCATGCGCTAGCTGGGAACTCCCAAGTCCAGAGGAATCCAAGTATGTCGTCAGCTGAAATTTGTAATTTTGAAAACCATTTTAATCAGGGGAGTCCTAAACAGATCTAAAGTGAAGCATATGTGCTAACAGATGTTTAAGACAGTTTTCGAATTGGAAGACACCCAAGAAACTTTTCCAGATGTATAATTCTTTGAGAATTCTTTCACCATTTAGAAAAGTATTGCTTCATTAAAAGAATTAAATGCATACAAGACAAAGTGAGCAAATGAATTGTCAAATCTAAATCCAACCATTTTTCCCACTGCCTATTCTATGAAGCAACTATACCTATTTATGTAAAAAAGTCTTCATACATGCTAAACTGTATACAAACAGCAGTATTCTTAACATCCATAAAATTGTAAGGAAAGTGTATATTATTGAGTTATTATGTCTTAAAATATTCAAATAAAATAAGTTTCAAGTAAAGCTATCTACCTGTTTGACTACAACATGTTAACCTCACATGGGACTTCAAGTTCAATGGGACTTACTCAATTGTAACTGTGTACAGGACTGCAACCTAAATTAGCTTTATTATGTTTTTTGTTCAAATTAAATATTCCTGTTAATTACTTTCAGCTATTAGAAAAAAAGCTTTGAGATATTTATACAGTCCACAAAATTAATGTGTTTTTGGTTTTCTTATCTAAATATAAGTCAAACAAATATGCACAATTGATCTTGGGAAGCAGAAAAGTTTCTGATTCAACATATTCTGGAAAATCCACATCACTAGTGCTATATCTAATGAACTGATTAGTGCTAATTATAAATCTAATGACTGAATGGGATCAATCAAATGTAATATTAGCAACAGTATCATAAAAGGATGAGCAGTATATAAGCTTTGTGTTTGTATCATAACCAGAGTACAGTGGTACCTTAGCTCATGAACTTAATCTGTTCCAGGACTCAGGTCATGACCCAAATTGGTCATGACCCAAGTCAAATTTCCCCATAAGGTGCAATGTAAATAAGGTTAATCCATTCTGTAAATGTTCTTTTATCACAAAAATTTGAAACAAAGTAACAAAGAACAACAAAGCAACAAAGTACAGTAGAGAACACTAACCTAGGTGGTGGTGGGGAGGTTACTGTTTGGAGGGAGAGTCCAAACCATAATCGTGCGATCGCAATTGTGCTGGGGGGATGGGCGCGATTGTGGGCAAGCTTGTGTGGGGGGAGACGGGCACGATCGTGGTCGTCACCCAATGCGGAGTTCGCAAACTGAGGCAATTTTTCTCAGAAATTTCTGTTCGCGACCTGATTTGGTTGTGAACTGAGGCGTTCATGAGCCGAGGTACCACTGTACTTGAAAAGCTATAAAATACATTGTAGAATGTTTAGATTTACAAGATAAAAAACTCTAATAAATGAGCAAAATCAAACAATGTACAAAAGCTGTAGAAAAACTGTAATTGCTACTAGTTCTGTAATGGCTATTATACACTGTGGGCACAGCAGAGGTCCCATGTGTATCCAATCACATTGGAATCCAGGCATGGACATATCCCCAAATCATACATCCAAATGAAGGGGTGGTGCAAGTATGCAGAGACCTCATCTCTTGCTTCTCCCAGGTTCTTATGTATGAAGGAATCCTAATCTGCATCCCCTTTCGCAGAGGTTCACCCTCTTTCCCCTGAGCTACTGATCATGTGGTGATTTCACATCTTTCATGTAGTTCTTCCCAATACTAAAAAGTTTAAATGCTTCTTCTGAGGCTTAGCTACTTCAGCAAGAGCTTTAAGCTAATGTATGCTGGTATTTTGGCCCCAATTACCTTTTGCCTTTGGCGCATGCACCCCTGGAATGTGGCCTCCACAGACTTGGACAGAAAGAGGTTTACATCCCTGCTCATAATCAATACAATTTTATATAAAAGAAAAATCCAAGCAAGAAATATAGTAAGAGAAATACTTTTAAAAAGATATGCAATAATCCCACTCTTCCATCCAAAGATAATATTTTGTCATCAAATACCTAGGGTAAA